AATAAAACAAATAAGACTTTCTCCTGAAGAAAAAATATTAGAAGACATACTGTGAAAATTTATTTGCTCTGTTAAACATCATTTATAAAACATTTGAAAAAGAAAAAAACAAAAAAAAAACAAAGGGTGGCTAATATTTCTGACTTCAGCTGTAGAGCTATAGAGAAGTGCTAACTGGAACGCAAACTTGTTTAAGAGAGTCATCACCAGTATGTTCTTTACTTTACGATTCTGGATAAATTGAGAATTGGTTTGATTCTCTCGGTTAATGATTTTGAAAAGTTATATAAATTTAGATGTACTTTATACTTATATACTTAAGATATACTTTAAAATGAGCATAAATTGTTGATGCAGATTTATGGCACCACTGCAATTCAGACGTCCCAAGTTTGAGTCCCGGTATGTGGACCTTTCTATGTACCCATTATTACAGTATATCAGTAGGGCTGTGCGATTTGGGTAAAATATCTAATTGCGATTTATTTTTTAATTTATTTATTTTTTACAAATATTGTGATTTTGATTTGCAATTAAATTTTATAGTCAAGCTTCAGCTCAATATTCTGTATTGTAGCTTCTTACTGCTAAAATGCAGTGAGTGCACGAGCCTGTGGTGCTTTTAAGGTGCTCGTGCTGTGGCAACAATTCGCCAACAGCTCTTATAAATTACATGTTTTTGTTCAGTGTCTGTGAGTTTGAAACCTAAATATTGCCATATTTACGACATGCTTTTTTTCATTGATATAAATTCATCTAATAATGCTTCTAAAGCAGCAGACACTATCATACCACGTGTCCGCACTTTCCTGTTTGTTTGTTTGTTTTATTGTGAGCTTTTCACATAGTTCAGTTGCACTATTCTGATTAGGCAGAACAAAAGTGTGTTCTGCTCACTTAATTGGCTGGTAAGACTGTCACACACAGACGGCAGTCATGCATTTTTGGCTCATGAAACATAAATAAACTATATGATACTATACAGCTATAAAATATCAGTTCTACTTTTTTTTCTTTGAAAAAGCCAAATTAGTTCACTGAAGTATTTATTTTTTTGTTTCAAAACTTGATTTATGCTTTAATGTGAGTAAAAATAATTGTGCTATTATCACAGACTTTGCAAAACATTTGTGGTTTTCATTTTAATTTCTCTTAATTAAGAGCAAGTTTTTCTTTTGTGTTGACTGGTGTGATTCATTGGCAAACAAAAATATCAAGATATGAATTTTACTGATAGCATTGTTTATTTATTTTTTAGACTTCTGTAGATATCGCTATTGTGAATCTCTTTGGCCACAGTTATTGGCTTGTGAAAAAACTAATATTATAACATTCCTTAGTGTTATATACAATATCCCTATAATGAATGTTTCAATGCTCTAATCATGAAGAATTCTGAATGAATCAGTGTTTTTGAAAAAACAAGTCAATGATTTTATTTGTCACCCCTTGTGTAAGAATATAATCTTAATTTAAATGTAAGGTCACTTTCAAAATGTGGTTTGCTCCTATTTAATTGGCACTGTATTGTTATATTACTGTATAAGAGTACTGTTATCTCAGTGCATTTGTGATAATCTGGCTTTTTGTACCATAGAAATAATGATACTGTGTGATTGAAAAGACTAAAGACTAAAGCTGTTTTATAATACATGACATCTGCTCTCTCTGGGTCAGCAGCAGCGTGAACACAGATATGAACGTGATCATATTTGTCAAAGGTTTAATAGACACAGCTTCAACTGAATCATTTAGAAGCAAGATTGTGTGGATGTTTGAATCAAGATTGTGATCTTTTAAGAATTAATCGTGCAGCTTTTGACCTTTCCTTACCAACTGGAGAGACTTTAATAACACAATTGCAACCACTACATGTCAGTAAGAAGGATTTTCCCAGATATAGATCTTCAGTCAAGTCTTTTTGCCGGAAGCATTACAAGCACTACATGCAGGTCTTAAGAAGCACATTCAGTCAAGAGATGTACCGTTTTACAAGACGATACCTTGAAACAGCATAAACGCTCCTAAAATCTATTTAAAACACATTCACAGGTTGCACCTCAGTCACACAGTCATTAATTATATTAATTATGTAAATGTATATAGTAACATTACTTTAACTTACTCTGCACAAATTGTATTCAGCTATTTTTTATTTGCATATGTGCTCAGTTATGTGATTTGCATAATTCCCTTAGTGGTTCTAGCAGATATTCTTATTCAAATCTTTCTTTAACTTTTTTTCTTTTTGCAAATGCAGCATTTTGGTAGTCTGCAAGCATACAAATGCATTTAAATTGACTCAAGATTTTAGAGCTTTCCATTTCCTAAATTACCATGGAGGATATGCATCAACGCAGTGGCAGTTATCTCTGATTTTCTGGTAGGGAATCGGTCAGGGTAAATTTTTATAAAAACATTTAGCAAAGAATAAATTCACCAGTTGCCTCATTACAGAGCATTCAGGGTCATTCTTTAGATCACTTACATTGCCCTGGACTGTTTTTAGCTCACAGTGTAATGCAATCTGTTTCTCCTCAACTAAAGTATAATGGGAAATCTAATCATGCCCTCATGTCAAAACAATAGGACTCTGAAAAAAATGAGATTATACCAGCCCCCACATATCGCACATCACCTCTTCAGCTCCACGGAGCTTTGAACAAATGGAGAAACCTGCTCATCTAAATGCAAAGCCTGCTCACAGGTGCTGTACGGCTGTTTGGGGGTGATTCAATTGTCATTGTTCAGGCTATCACAAAGCTAAAGCGTCCTCTGCTGTGACCTGTGTGGCCTTTGGTCATTTAGAGTGCTATATCTCAACTGGTTTTGCTTTAGGTTCCATAATGGACATCAAGTTATCAATTGACACAATACAAACATTTTCGCCCCAAGGGTCAGGGGTCAGAACGCACTTAGTCTGTGGAATAATTAAAAGGGTTAAACACTATCTGCATCTGAAATTCAATGTCTCAACAGCTGTGTTTGTAAAATCTGGAAAATTGCACTGCCACAAGTTTTCTGTGAGTATGTACACTACCGGCCAAAAGTTTGGGGTCAGATTTTTTTTTTCATGTTTTTTTTTTCATTTCTTTTTTTTTTATAATTATTCTGCTCATCAAGGCGGCATTTATTAAATTAAAAAAATGTTAAATTGTTAACTATTTATTATTTTTTTTAATAAATGCTAATTGTATTTAGTTTCAAATGAAGTTATTACTCCAGTCATTATTGCTTTTATTGCTAAATAATAATAATAATAATAATAATAATAATAATAATAATTATTATTATTATTATTATTATTATTATTATTAGAATGGTTTTTGAGGCATCATGTGACTCTGAAGACTGGAGTAATGAAGCTGAAATTTCATCATTAAAATCATTGGAATAAATTAGTAAATTAAATTATAAAACACTTCTGAAGTTATTTTATAGTCAATTAAGTTACAATAATATTTTACAATTTGTACTGTTTTCTTCATTAAAAAAATGCAGCCTTGGTGAGCAGGAGAAGCCTATACTAAAACCTTTAAAAATCCTCAAACTTTTTACCGGTAGTGTATGAATAAATAAATAAATACGCAAATGCACACACACAGTTGAAGCCCCCCTTTATATTTTTCCCCAATTGTCCAAATGGTTTTCATAATAACATAGTGACACATAACAGTTTGTTCTGTTGACAATTTAAAAAAAGAAATGCTTAAGGGGGCTAAAAATATTGATTGTATTTTTTAAATTAAAAACTGCTTTTATTGTAGGTGAAAAAAACAATAAACAAATAAGACTTTATCTGAAAGAAAAACATTCTTATAAATATTGTGAAAAATGTTCTTGCTCTGTTAATCCTTAGAGAAATGTTTGAAAAAGAAAACAAAATTTACAGGACGGCTAAAAACTTTGACTATAACTACATATATTTACTTTTTATATAAAATTACAACAGGTACCATGTTTTTTAGACTTGCTTGTATTCATTTAAGCAGCACAAACTGTTTTAAAACTGAGTTTCAAAAATCAGTATTTGGTGGAATAGAGCTGATTTTTAACCACAGCATATAAAAATGTGCTAGCCAGTTGTCATTTTTTAAAAACAAATGCTGTAAATTATTTAAAATTTGTAAGCAACATTATCAGACCATAAAGCAATGATGTGAATTTATCATTTATTCTCCTCCAGGGTCTTAAACCATTATGAGTTTTTTTTCCTTCTGACACGAAAGAAGATTTTTAAAAAAATGTTGGTTGCTAGAACCCTTCGATTTCTACCGTAGAAAAACAAAAAACTATGGAGGTCAATGTGTCCCAGCAACCAGCATTCTTTAAAACAATATATTTTGTGTTCAGCAGAAGAAAGAAACTTTAAGGTTTTGAACAAGTATAGGGTGGGTAAATGATAACAGCATTTTTGTTTTTGGGTGAACTATCTCTTTAAAAGAATCAAACAAACATTTTACTTAAACCCAATATTTCTCAACCATGTTCCTGGAGGCCCACCATCATTGCGCATTTTAGATGTCTTCTTTGTCTGTCTCATCTATTACAGGTCTTTGAGTTTCTGCTAATGAGCTGATGATGTGAATCAGGTGTGGTTGGTTGTGGAAATGGAAAATGTGCAAAGCTGGTGGTCCTTCTGGAATGTGGTTGAGAAACACTGCAGTAACCCATACTTAATGAAAAAATCATAAAACAATTCAAATGGTCTCTTAATTTTTTCTCTTTAATTTTCCTCCCATATTTTCCTACTTTATAAGCCTAATTTTAAATAAGGCTGTCAAGTTAACATTAAATGATTGTGCATGTTAATTAAACAAAAAATAACAAGGTAAAGTGAAAGCCATTAATCACTCACTGACAAACCTCGCTTATTTGCATTTTGCATTGTTTTCTGCACTTTGACTCGTTGAGAAGGTTGAGAATTGGTGGTGTAGAGTGTGTATTGTTGTGTAACTATGTATGTGTTTCGCTGGTCTGAAGTGTGCGTCTCATTTCAGGAAACAGGATGGAGGAGAGCCCTGCATCTCTAACACACTAGATCCATCACTCTTCCAGCCTTCTCTGCCCCACAGCGGCCCTGCGTTCCTCAAGGTACCACAAACCCCCTGCCCTCCAGCATGCTGAGCATCTTCCCGTCCTGCCAAAGCTTGACTTCTGCTTGCTGAGTCTGTCTCACCTCTGCCGACCCTCCTGCTCCAAATACTGTGAGCCCTGTGTTGAGCTAAAGCTGAAGCTGATCTGCATAAGGCCAGCGTTTGGTATTAATACACATGATTGACATGCCATGCAGCAAAATGAGAGTGATGTAATTAAAAGCGAGATGCTGTTAATGAGCAAATGTCAGGCCGGTTTCTCAGTCACACCCCTTATTCAGTAAGACAAATGCCTGTCAAAATAGCATTGATTAGGAATGGCCATTTAACCACTGACAGCTTGTCAATGAGTTATAACGCCAGGGATTCAGCTTTCAGAACTAAAACTGCTTTTGTGATGTTTAAAGGGACAGTTTAATACTGGAACTACAGAGATGGGCATTTTGGCATTTTTTAAATGTTGTCATTTAAAGGTTCAAGACACCATGAAGTACTTTTTTTATTTTAACAGATTTGTGTGTGTGTTGAGCATCAGGTAAGACAACGTAAGGACCTGTCAGCTTTAATTGTGCGGAAAACTGGATCGTTTAAATTTTTTTGTTAGATAATTACATCTTCCGGGTTTAAAATAATTTTAAGGGGGGGCTTAAAATCGGTGATGTAGTTCGAATCTGCTAGTGGAGTGATGATGCGTCAGCTTCTTCTTATTATTCATAGCTGAGTTTTCTTACCCTATGAGAAGATTCTGCTTCTTAATTATTTATGAGATCACGTGCCAGACCTGCCAAGCTGTAAGACTCAATGAACGCATCCGCGCACATCAAGCGGTATTTAGCTGTCATAAAGGGTCATATGTGTTTGTTTCTATGATTCACAGGGCTTGTTGAATGTTTTTCCCATGCCATACTGTAAAGGCCAATACAGCAAAGCTGTTGCAGCAAGCATTTTTTTCGGGAGAGCTGTAAGAGAGTTGGAGAATGGTGAACTTTGTCTTTTATCAGTTGAGTTTGTTACTATTCAGACACATCGACTTATCCGTGCTGTTGTGTTCGCCATATATTTAAAATCTCCAGATTACTGTCAGAGTTAATGGTTGAAATAGACAGGGAAAGAGACCTGCTGCACTGCTATCCACTGTGTCTGCATTCAGACCCGGGCTTTGAGGAGGAGAGAAGTCCTCCTCAATTATAGTGTTTATATACAGTAATTATCTTTATAATGATATAACAAATTGTGGCTATGTGTATTTGAAATTATGAATAACAAATGTAGCAGGACCTTAAAATTACTGTTTATTTCTTTGCATTTTAACTTTGTAAACTATAAAATCATGGGCCTCCTCACGGTTTGTGTCTTATTTTGTGAACCAACTGACAACAGTTGTTCGCTCCCCTCTTTCTCCCCTGCTCTGCTGGCCATGGCCATTCTTCCCTCTGCTCACAGAGCTCCACACCCATTATGAAGCACTTTTTAAAAAAACTCTGAGGTAGACAAAAGAGTGGGGTTTCATGGCCTTTTATTAACTTTGTTAAAATAAAAACCACATAACTAATACGCTAAACTTTCCTAAATGTTATGTGCATATTTATTTCTAACAATGTTATTTTATTAAAATTTCAAAACACAAAAGTTTTTAGTTTTTCTAACTTTAAATATCATAGCAAATCAAATTAATTGCATGTATTTCAGAGTTTATTATTTAATCCCTTGCCTTTTAATATGCATGGCTCTGTTGCCTAGCAATTTTCTGCTAACAAAAACATAACTTTCTGATTAGGACTGCAGGATATTGGAAAAATCTGACTATGTGACATTTTGTTTTCTCCAATATATAATGCGATATGAATACAATTTCACCAGATGGCTTGTTTAGCCCAATTTGGAAAGAATTCTTGAATTTAGATTTATTGGTGTGATCTTGTGATGGTGTGAATCATGTATAAATATAATAAACTAATTGCAAGCAAGTATAATTACAATTGAGCAACTCAAAAAGTAAATGAAATGGTTTCCAATGAGTCAAACAGTATTCATGTACAGTAATTGAATAATGTAATGTAAAATAACATTGTATAAAATTCAATGTAGTAATGCAGTAAAACCATTCTTCATTAAAGTCACAAATGTTGTTCATTTTTGTGCCTGAATGCTGTAAACTCTTTTGAAATGCCTTTAAAACACATGCAAATTATAAAGATTCACTCTGTTATGGTTATACTTTGCAACGACTCCACAAATCTGATGTATTCTCAATTGTTGGTCAACTATAAACCCTTCTCAACAGTGCAGATTCTGTGATGTGACTATTGTGGATACTCACAGTGCAATATCGAATATACAGTAGATTTCTATGAATCCATGGTCATCATAAACACATGATCTTTTCAGAATTTCAGATTTCAGAAGACATATGGTCTAGGTGAACTAAATTGGCCATTGTGTATGAGTGTTTGTTTGTGATTAAGTGTGTATGGGTGTTTCCAAGTACTGGGTTGCAGCTGGAAGGCCATCCACTGCGTGAAACATATGCCAGAATAGTTGGCGGCTTATTCCGCTGTGGCGACCCCCTGATAAATAAGGGACTAAGCTGAAGGAAAATGAATGAGTGAATAAATTAATGAGAGAGCCTATTTTGGAGAACCTTTAAAGGTAATTTATTCAGTATGAATTTTTTATTAATTTTTTTTTTAAAGCTTATTTATTAGACTTTTAAATAATGCATACATCTCAATTTCCAAAAATGTAGACTTACAATATGACTGGGTTTCTGGTCTGGGTTTACATATATAAGAAGTGTGAGTATGAAAAATGATGATATATTTTTGCTTTAGTTTTTGTGCACTGACTCATGCACTAAAATGAATATCAAGCCAGAGGTTTCTCTCTCACCAATAGTCCTAGTAGTGACTCAACATGTTGATTCTGGCAAGTGTGAGCCCAACTATGTTGGCGTATTGAACACGCTGGCAAAAGTAGTTTAAGAGATGCTCACAGATTGCTGTTGATTTGGTGCTGTTGATTATAGTAGCTTTTACCAACACAGCCTCATTGAGTATATGTGCCTCAGAGTGCACTCAGACTCTGGGTACATTTCATTGCACATTTCAGATGACAAATTCATTAGATTTGTACTGTATGTATTATATATATATATATATATATATATATATATATATATATATATATATATATATATATATATGTATATATATGTGTGTATATATATGTGTATATATATGTATGTATATATGTATATATATATATATATATATATATATATATATATATATTAAGGGTGGAGCCGAACCCGAATACGGTATTCGGAAAGGCACGAATAGCGTGTTTTTACGAATACTTATTTCGAACAAATACTTGAAAAATTATTTGTATTTGGGAGCAAGAAAAGCATTATATCAAAAAGCAGCGTTTCCTCCTGAGACCACAGTGCATGAGTGAGAGAGAGAGCGAGAGAGAGAGAGAGTGAGCGAGAGAGACGCTCAGTCGGAGGGCGGGGCGGAGGTAAAAGATCTCTGGCTCAAGCTTCTCCACAGCAGCAGACAGAGAAGGCTCGGCTGAGCGAAAAAAATACTTCTCTGCATCACTATTTTTGTTAAATAGATTTTTGTACCTTAATTGGGTTCCAGATGCAGTTTATAAACTTGTAGCGAAGTTTGTTCGGGATTTTCCATTACGCTGCATTTTTGAAGTTTGCAATCGGGTGCTCTGTTAGCGCTGTTAGCTCGTTAGCTCTGTTAGCGCGGTAATTTAGAGAATAGACTGTTGACAGAGTAACGTTAATGTTTGTTTATAAAGGTTAAAGCGATGCTTTTGCAGTTGTGTCGAATAGTATGCACTTATGGGAGTTATATGGTACGTCTAAATTACTGTCTTTTGCAGACAGCAAGATATATGCTATAGGCTAGTTAACCTTAGCATAGCTTCCCCTCACTTTTTATTAACTTGAAACTCCTCAAATACATTTGGGCACCATGAAAAAGAGTGAGACTGCTGCTGAGCCATTTCTTGGTCCTTCATCAGTAAAAAAAAATAAAAATTCATGTTCTTTGTGGAAGCATTTTACAGTCAGTGGTGCTGCAGATAAAACAAAGTGATACTGTATAATGTGTGCAAAAGTGAAATCAGCAGAGGCAGAGATATTAAACATCTGTCAACATCTATGCATAATCATTTATTTTCTTTTCGGCTTAGTCCCTTTATCAATCTGGGGTTGCCACGGTGGAATGAACCACCAATTTATCCAGCATATGTTTTACGCAGTGGCTGCCCTTCCAGCTGCTACCCAGCACTGGGAAACATCCATACACTCTCTTTCACACACATACAATAGGGACAATTTAGCTTACCCAATTCACCTGTATTGCATGTGTTTGGACTGTGGGGGAAACCTGAGCACCCGGAGGAAACCCACGCCAACATGGGGAGAACCCAGTCGAGGCTCGAACCAGCAACCTTCTTGCTGTGAGGCGACAGTGCTACTCACTGTGCCACCGCGCAACCTTCTATGTAATGTATTATCACATGCACTAAAAGCATCCTCTCCTGATACTGTCTGTGAACCCCCCACAAGGATCAATCCCCTCAATCAGCACAGCTATGTTCTGCTAAATCCTCCACTAGCACAAAACCATCAACACAGCCACATTCTGCCCCAGCAAGTAAGTTTCAAACATAAAAAAGTAAAAAAACAAAAAACTTTGTGTCTGTTTTGTGGCAGGCAGATGATAATAGCAGGGCTGTATCTTTTAGTATTATATAGAATACTTTTGTTCTGCCAGATCTCCCAGGCAGGGTTTTATTTAGATTTATTTAGTTAATTTTAGTTTTTGGAATTCTGTGCATTGGAAAGAAGTTCTTTCAGAAGAAGAACAGTTTTTTGAAATATTATTTGTTTTTATTCTGTCTATTCAGTGTCCTTCAACAAGAACGGTGGTGGTGGGGTTTATAATATTCACAATGGTATTTTATTAGTTGTTGGTT